ATGAAGGTAAAGGAGGAGAGGGAGGAAGGAAGGAAATGAAAGGAGGGGAGGGAGGAGAGGAAGAAAGGAAGGGAGGGAACAGAAAGGAAGTAAAGAATGAAGGGAGGGGATGGAGGAAGGAAGAAAAGGGAGGGAGGGAATGGATGGAGGAAGGAAGGGAGAGAGGGGAGGGGGAGGAAGAAGGGAGAGAGGGGAGGGAGAGAGGGGAGGGGGGGGGAGAGGAGAGGAGGGGGGGAGGGAGAGGAGAGGGGGGGGGGAGGGGAGGAGAGGGGGGGGAGAGATGGGGAGGGAGAGGAGAGAGGGAGAGGGGGAGGGAGAGAGAGCGGAAGGAATGAAGGAAATTAAAGGAGGGATGGGAGGAAAGAATGAAGGGAGGGGATGGAGAAAGGAAGAAAAGGGAGAGAGAGTGGATGGAGGAAGGAATGGATGAGAGAGAGGGCCCCCCCTTCCCCCCGGAAGGAGAGAGACAGAGAGGGAGGAGGGGAGGGAGAGGGAGGAGGAGAGGGGAGGGAGGAGGAGAGGGGGGAGGGAGAGGAGAGGGGGAGACAGAGATAGCGAGAGAGCGGAAGGAATGAAGGAAATTAAAGGAGGGATGGGAGGAAAGAATGAAGGGAGGGGATGGAGAAAGGAAGAAAAGGGAGAGAGAGTGGATGGAGGTAGGAATGGATGAGAGAGAGCCCCCCTTCCCCCCCAGAGGGAGAGGGAGGGGGAGGGAGAGAGAGGAGGAGAGAGAGAGGGAGGAGGGAGGGAGAGGGAGGAGGGAGAGAGAGAGAGAGAGAGAGGGAGGAGGGAGGGAGAGGGAGAGAGAGAGAGGGGGGAGGGAGAGAGGGGATGAAATAATGAAGGGAAGGGATGGAAGAAAAGGGAGGAAGGAAGGAATGGATGGGAGAGAGGGAGGGGGAGAGAGAGGGAGAGAGAGAGGAGAGGGGAGGGGGAGAGAGAGGAGGAAGGGGAGGGGGAGAGGAGAGAGAGAGGAGGGAGGGGGGAGAGAGAGAGAGGAGGGAGGGGGGAGAGAGGGAGGGAGGGAGGGGGGGAGGGAGGGGGAGAGAGAGAGAGGAGGGAGGGGGGAGAGAGGAGGGAGGGGGGGGGAGGGGGGGGGGGGAGAGAGGAGGGAGGGGGGGGAGGGAGGGGGAGAGAGAGAGAGGAGGGAGGGGGGGGAGAGGAGGGAGGGGGGGGGAGGGGGGGGGGGGAGGGGGGGGAGAGAGGAGGGAGGGGGGGAGAGAGAGGGGGGAGGGGGGAGAGAGAGGGGAGAGAGAGGGGGGGGAGAGGGGGAGGAGAGAGGGGGGGAGAGAGGGAGGGGGGGAGAGAGGGAGGAGGGAGGGAGGGGGGAGAGAGGGAGGTGGGAGGAAGAGAGAGAGGGAGGGGGAGAGAGAGGGTGAGGGAGAGAGAGAGAGGGGGAGGGAGGGATGAAATAATGAAGGGAGGGGATGGAGGAAGGAAGAAAAGGGAGGAAGAAAGGAATGGATGTGAGAGGGAGGGAGAGGGAGAGAGGGAAGGGATGGGGAGAGAGAGAGAGAGAGTGTACATTCAGAAGCATTACAGAGCTGTCGGTTGATCTGGACAGGGGAGGCAGAGCAGATCCTTTCTTCTCTGCTCTGCCGTGGAGGATGGGGGGAGGGGCTGGACACTGTCAGAGAATACGAGGCATCAGAGACCTGCGGGGGGGGGGGGGGGGGATGAGGAGCACATGGGGGGGGGGGCCCAGGATGGTTCTCCAATGCACAGTCAGGGATGATCGGTGCAGTGGAGGGACAGTGGCACCACCGATTTCCCTGCATGGATTTCAACAAGGCAGGTGGAAGCCTCCCCTCCTGTCAGCCGACTCACTCTGCCACCACGTGGAAGTGACAAGTGAGCTACTTCTGGGTCGGGATCTGAGACTGCCTCCTCCTCTGCTCCCCACACTGTCACTGGACAGTGATCCTCTTACGGCCCCCTATTGACCCTGGGCCCTCGGGCAATGCCCGAATGGTCAGTCCACCCCTAAACACATCTAAACTTATTTTAGGATGCTACAGAAGGGCTCAATTTTAAGAAGGTTCCAAAGAGGGATATGGGTACTGATATAATATCAGGACTCAGTTTGGGTAGTTTATCTTGGAATAGGGCTAACTTAGAGAGTGTAAATATAAGAGAACAACATTTTGTGGGTTGATTACAGCAGATACTGCTTAACCCCTTCACGCCTAAGGGTAAAACAAATCTAAAGGCCTAAGCACAATTCTGCACCGTTGACATGTGATAGCAAAACCGTACATATCATCACAACTACTTTGCACATCCAGGTGGATTATACCTTGATTTTTTCAGGACAAATTGGGCTTTCATTTGGTGGTAAATGGTAATGGATATCTCCTGATTTTTTTTTTATTATCAAAGGAAAACTGGCCAAAAATAGTAAAAAAAAAATCCTTTTTTTTTTATTTAGCTATGTGTTTCTTGTTATGACCATAACCTACCACCAAAGAGCAACCCAAAATAAATTCTCCAGCTCTTGACGATCGCAGTGATACCATATATGTGTATGTTATTTGTTGTTTGTACGCGTAGTACAGCCCAGAAACCATAGTGCGCATTTTGTTTTTGTATTTTTTTTTTTTTTACCTAAAACACACTAACACTAACTGACACTGACATTAACACTAACTGACACTGATACCAATTTTTTTTTAAATCCTGACCTTGACCCTGACCTAAACACTAACCCTGGCACTGAACTAGATCAAACCTTGATCTAGGTATTTTTTTTTATTTTTTCTTTTATTTTTTTAATATTTATTTATTTATCTTTTTTTTTTTTTTTTTTTTACAAACTTTTTTTTTCTTCTCTCTGACAGGAGTTCGAGAGATACAATGTATCTCTCTTCTCCATTCATAGAGAGAGAGAGAGAAAAAAAACAAGGGGGCCGGGCTGCACAGTGACTGATCACTGTGATAGCCAATCAGAGGCTATCACAGCGATCATGTGACCCGGGACCGGGAGTCCCGGGTCCCGATCGTTAGAACGGGACTCGGTGCTCTCAGTGACACCGCGGTCTCGGTGCTGGGAGCGCGCTGAGGGGCGCGCTCCCAACACAAAGACAGGTACGCAAATATGCGGCCCCACGGAAAAAATCCCAGGCCCCACGGAAAAAATCCCAGGTCCGTGAGGCCGCATATTTGTGTTACGTCAGCGTCAAGGGGTTAAAGGGGGAAGAGTGGATTTTAACACTCTAGCTGAAATTAAAATTTACATTGATAACATTCACACCATTGCTGCAGATTTGCAGGATATTCAAATGTCAGTGAGTGCATTGAATAAAACACTTCAAACCAATAATGTATCCAAATCTGTGGTATGATAGGGAACTTGTAGAGTGAACACCTGAGCCAAGGACTTCAAGAAATTAAACAAGGAGAACGACCAAGGATAATGAACTTGACTTTATTATTCAATCTAATCAAGATAGTGGTGTTACCTGTAAGAACTTTGTTCTTGCTAAAATAAGGAGCCTGAATACTCTTTGCAATAAAGATCAAATCGGGAAGCAGGAAATATCTCTGACCGTCGACATTCCTACATGGCCAACAACACCCTTATCTTTGTAAAAGATGATCATTCTTGGTGAGGTGGCATTAATGTACTGAAACAACTGCTACCACAAAGCAGACTCATCGTTAAGGAGAACCCATTATGGACCCTAACTGCTGTACCCAACATGGCCAAGCCTGACTTTATTCCTGTTCTTTTGAGCAGCTGGAGTATGTTGATGGCTGTGCTGCTACATATTCTGGGAATTACATGGTTCAACTGCAGAAATATGAATTGGCTTGTAAAAAGAATAATTCATGGAGATGACTCAAAGGTCTGTGCATTAGGGGTTCCCGCGTTTAATTGGCAGAGACAAATTCAGTGCTAGACACCTATCACTGATTGCTGTGTGAACCTCACTGATGGACTGTTGACAATTGGAGATGAGGACATTCGAGCAAATATTCAGATGAATCATGTATCTGTGGACATTGAGAAAACTGATCTTGGCAACTGGGAATCTGTGATCTCTCCTTTATTTAAGAAAATACCATCACTTACAGTTGAATTGGATACATTATTTAAGAAGAATAGTAGGAAAATTATAGAGTTACAAGAACTGGTAAAGAAAAACATCATCAGTTCTAATACAATTTCAAAATAATTTCAGGAGCCCTTGTGGAGAATACCCTATAAACACGTTCACTCACCCACTATTGCAATCTCTTTCAAAGATTTTTGTGTTTATTATGTTTACGGTTTCGTTTATATTGTTGTGTGAAAAGACAATTAAGAACAATCCAGGGAAATAAGGAAAGTATAGAGCTGGCATCAGTATTAAGAGCAGGAAATGTCTGAGCAGTTTGATTGGTTATGGATCAGTTCTAATGAGAACCGCTCCTAATGGGGGAATATGTAGGCATATAAAATGTGTGCATCATAGATATAACTATATATATATATATATATAAAATATGAGTAAATGCACTGTATATACATTCATGTATGTGAAGTTGGCACTCATAGTGGACCAGACAAACGGCATTTTTTAATATCAAAGGGATAGAATAAGATCTCCTTTGGATAAATATGTGGAAAGTTGGGGAGTTTCAGACCAGCTTATTTGCAAATCTATCAGCATTGTAAAATGCAAGTTTGTGTGATTAGATTTGGAAAGGTCTTAAATATTAATGAGGCCCTTGTTTATGAGAAATAGCCTGTTTAACCACTAGCCTACAGGGCACTTATTCCCCCTTTCTGCCCAGGCCAATTTCCAGCTTTCAGCGCTGTCACACTTTGAATGACAATTGCGCGGTCATACAACACTGTACCCATATGAAATTTTTATCATTTTTATGAGACATAGAGCTTTCTTTTGGTGGTATTTAATCACCTCTGGGATTTTTATTTTTTCTTAAAAAAACACTGAAAATTTTGACATTTTTTCTTAGTTTTTGTTATACAATTTTGTAAATAAGTGATTTTTCTCCTTCACTGATGTGCGCTAATGAGGCTGCAGTGATGGACACTGATAGGTGGCACTCATGAGGAGGCACTGGTAGGTTGCACTGATGGGCATTGACAGGCATCACTGATGGGCACTGAAAGCCAGCACTGATACATGACACTGATAGGCAGCACTGACTGGCACTGATAGGCAAACTGACTGGCACTGTTAGGCGGCACTGATGCGCACTGATAGGTGACACTGACTGGCAGCACTGATAGGTGGCACTGACTGCCACTAATGGGTGACATTGAAAGCTCAGATGTGCTCTGATATGTGGCATTGATGTGGCACTGATGAGCACTGACAGGGGGCACTTCTGGGGCCACACTGATCATCAGTGCCCTGATGATCAGTGTACATGTCCCCTCTGCGGAAAACAGATTACCGGCTCTCCTCTCCTCTCGAGCTGTCAGCGTGACAGCTCCAGAGGAGAGAAATGCCGATAACCAGGATTTCCGTGTTTACATGTGATCAGCTGTGATTGGACACAGCTGATCACATGACCGAGCCGACATCTTCGGCTCTTTCCGTGATCCGCTGTGTCCGAGGGACACAGCGCACCGGCGATCGCTGCGCCCTCCCTGAGCCGCAAATGCGCAGTGAGGATGGTAGGACGTCGTATGACGTCCTATCAGAACGAGAGAAACCACTTTGCGCCCGTCATTGTACTATAGGGCGGGCGGAAGGTGGTTAAAGAGGTGGAGTGTTTTACCTATGCAAGAAGGGTAAAAACATGCAATTTTCCCTTAAACAGTTTGAGAAGTATATGGTAAAGGGGTTTAAGGCGTCTTAAATATTCATAGTGTACTTGTGTATGGTGAAGAGAATTTCAAAGTGGGTATCGTGTCCCCCTTTGTACAAGGATGTTAAAAATATTGCAGTTTTACCATTAACAAGACAAGGAGTATCTATTTAACTTTTTAATTAAAATCTATGCAAACAGCTGTTCTAGACACATTGCCTGTAACACGTAGGATCAAACATGCTCATAAAACCAAACAATCAGATTGGCCAACACTTTGGTCAATAGAAAAAGGTATATATTAGGGAAAGTTTTTTGGTTGAGTTGGGACAGGAAAAAGTGGGTCCTCTGAAGGTGTCTGATAATTGCATGAATATTCTAAGTACCCTGTCATCTGCCTTATCTGTACCTCTGTCTTATAAATTGTTGTTGAGCCCATTAAATCTCTCTTTAGAAAAGAACTGTTGGACTACTTGCTGTGGGAATATACATTTATATAAATACACTCGTCATCCTCCAAATGATATCAGACAACAAAGAGTTGAAGCTGTTATAGCTGCAAAGGGTGGGCCAACTCAATATTGAACCCTACAGACTAATACTGGGATGCCATTAAAATTTATGTGCATGTAAAGGCAGGCGTCCCAATACTTTAGCAAAATAGTGTGTGTAATGTTCTCTCATTGTTGACAAGGTTTAAAATCCAAAGCAAGGTCTGGTGTAAGCTTCCCCTTTCTGTAACAGACTGTATAAACTTATATAACAGCTGTGGCATCCATATAATTTTTTATTATTTTACATAATTTCCCACTTTAGCTTCGACTGAAGAATTTTACTAAGGTTAATGGTGTATTTAGAAACCTAATTTTCTGGAATAAGGTTCCGCTCATCAAACTGGAACTATTACAATATCCAAAAGATGTTGGTGGATTAGCTGCTCCTAAGCCAATAATTTATTTCCTTGCAGCATGCTTGTTATACTCACTGTGGAACCTAAGGGGTTAATCCTCTGCATTGTTTAAAAGGTGGTTTGATCCAGTTAGCAACACTTCATACCATTCAATTTCTTGCACGTTTCACGGATGCTGACCTCTGCATGCCCTGGACGGGCTGTTGGCTTGCTCTGCTCTTTTCAAAATGCCCACCTCTGTGTTCAAGGTATGGGAAGCTGTTAGAAAGTCATTATGGGATTTTTTCCTTACTTAATATACCCCTATATGGGGTAATGACAGGTCCCCTAAGTTATCTACCCTGCAGGACTTTCAGAGGTGGGAGGGGGCAGCAGTTCATACTCATTCACAATTATATGAGATTGGTTCATTCGTTAAATCCTTTAAACAGTTGATAAGGGAATTCTCTGAACCCTAAGTGGTTTTATCAATATTTACAGCTGCATCATGCCTTGCATGCTCAATTTTCTTCTAGTTTTGCTTTCCTTGGTGCCAGTGTTGGACAGAGACTTCCGCCAAAGGCCTCAACTCAGCTACTTATTTATCCCTTTTAGAGAACACCATAAAGTCCCTCTGCCTTTCAGGGCAAAGTGGGAACAGGATATTGGGCCTATTCTGAACCATGTCTGGGAGGAGATGCTTCAAGCAATTCTCCTTGTCTCACTCTCTTTTGTACAGGCTAACAGATTTTTTTCTTCATAGGTGTATAGGACCTCAGAATTTCTGCATGCTATTGATTTAAAACCTGACCAGCCTATCCTAGATGTGGTAATTCGGGGTCCCTGATGCACTTATTGTGGCATTGTCCTAAACTCCAGAGGTATTGGGCTGAAGTTGTGGGCACAATTAATGGGCTTTTAGATGTGAATATTTTAGTGGATCCACTCCGATACTTATTGGGCTGCATTGAATTTACTGTGCTTAATGTGTACTAAACCCACAACAGTAAAATCAGTCTGTACATGCAGTAAAGCATGCTTGTTATACTCACTGTGGAACCTAAGGGGTTAATCCTCTGCATTGTTTAAAAGGCGGTTTGATCCTGATATCTGTGATCCTCCCCTTCTTCCAGTGTCCCCTCATCTCCTGATAAGACATATCATGTGGAGTCACATTGCACATGCTCAGTTTGCTGTGTATTGTTGTAAAGGTTTTTTTTTCTTCTTGGGAGAGTGCATGTGATCAGCACAGCCAATCAGCACTGTCCAGATAGAGGTCAGGGGTTCCGCATCCTCCCAGAGCAGATAGAAAAACTCCTCCTACAAGCTCAACTGGACACTGATAGAAGGCACAAGACTGCTCTAATTGCTGATGAGAAAAGGTATTTAGCAGTTTATATTTATTAAAATAATTGTACTTCTGTGTACTGTCTAAGACCAAATATAGAGAATGCAGGTCCTGGGTTTAGTAACACTTTAAGCCACCAGTACATGCACTGTTCGTGGCCCGAGGGCGAATGGCCCTTAAATGGTCTTCGCCACATCCTCCGACCCTATGCAACTGGAAACTCGATTCTTTCTTAGAAATCAAAGAGGTTTGAAGCAATTTGGGCACCTTGGTTAGATCATATGAGTTCAGTATTGAGTTAGATTTCAGGCCCTTTTAGGTATAGCTTCATTGTTCCTTTAAGCTAAGGCCATATATAAAGTAAAATTTTTTTCAGCTGTTATTATGCCATTTACTCACTTATTGTTTCAAATTCACTTAGGTATGCTCTGTGTGTAGGGTTTTTTTTTTGTTGCTGAATTTTTTTCTTTTTTGTGCGGTGTATATTGTTTCGTGTACCAATAAATAAATAATTTGCGCTAGTAAATGTGTATAAATATATAAATGTATATAAAGAAATCATCAAATCATAAGTCCAGAAAAAAATATATATATGCCAATACCACAAAAAAAATATAAAAAAACTTTTAAGTGCAAAAAACTTTTGTGCAAAAAAAGTGTCTAAATATGAAAAATTTCACCAAAAAACCTTGATAATATAATGGCAGATCATCCATAAATATATCTTCAAAAACGGAAACTCTGCAACACACCGATCCTCATCGATCGAAATAACAGGATGAAAAACTTTGTAGTTAATCGAAAATCCACTTCTCCAATAGATAAAGGACCACCTTCAAACGTATCCATGGGGGGAAATGCCAAGCACTCGAGAGAAACAGAAAGACTTCATGGTGCAATATTAAAAAAAAACAATTCCTTTATTAGGTACTCATTGCACTTACTCAAGAGGTGTCCCAGCCGACACCAGCATCAACAGCATAACAGCAATCACATAAACGAGCCTGGCTACTCAGCACATGCGCAGTAGCTGGCAGCCAAAAACGTAATGACGTCACATCAATCAAGCTCCGCCGTACGCGTTTCGTCATCGACGTCCTCACGGAGCGGATAGATGTGAGACGTCTCAACCTCCTTAAATATTCACTCACAGGAAACGAACAGCTGACATCAATGGGGAATCAAGCAAAGCAAGCCGCCCCACAGATGACAGGAGTCCACAAAGGATATACAATGTATCCAATATATTTGCCATCACAAGCAAAGCAAAAAAACTTTATTTTTTTAAATAAATAATTTTGACCATAGGCGCTATTATTAATTTTTCTTATTTTTAGTAATTTCTCTTTTTAGAGGGATTTTATAATTGGCAGCCATGGATATTTTTTTCTTAGTGAAGTTTTCAATCCCATGGGTATTTCAAATAATATGAATTTAGAAGAAAATTTCAAAAGTTTAAAATATCTTTTGGAGAAGCAAATTAAAATATGGTGGGATGTGAATACTTTGGAACTCTATCTAAAAGAGAAAATTACTCCCAGGAGGTTGAGATGGGATATACCTGCCAATGATGGGATGGATGATAGAGAATTAGTAGATGAGTGGTTTCAGTTTTTTAACCATTGTGAAAGCAGTTTATTGGAATTAATTATAAAAAGGCGACAGGTTAAATTGAGGAAAGTAGACTTTAAAATTAAAGAGTTGAAGGATGTGATGTTACCTTTTGCAGATACCAATGATTATAAAGATCGATCAAAGAATTTACAGGATCATATTGTTAAAGTCGATAAGGATACTAAAAACAAAAAGGTTAAAAAATATAAAAGAGACATGAAGATTATAGGAATAATAGAGTGTATAAATGGCAAGATAAGATCACTACAGATGGGTGTGACTCCCAACTTTCTACACCTGAAAAAATTATTATACCTAATTTAAAATCCCCAACGGTTAATCAAACCACTATATCTCCTCCTAAACAAAAAGTGACATTTCAGAATTCTGGCAATAGAACACCTGAAAATGTTCATGATAAATCACCTCATCAATATGAATATAGTGGTAGACCTTCAAGAGGTTTTTCCAACTATAGAGGTCAAGGTGGATATAGGGGTAATGGATATAGGAGAGGAGGTTATCAAAACCAAAATTTTTTTCCATCGAGGGGGGGTTTTTCATACCATCACCGGGGGTGGAATATGGCACCAAGGGGTTACAGACCACAGGAGAAAGATTGGAGAGAACAAGGGAATTATGGCAGAGAAGAGGGAACAAGAAATACAGAGGCAAAAGAGGAGGAAGGAGACAAAAAGAGAAAAAGAGAATAATAGGGGC